TTCTGATCAGCGGTATCAAAGACAAGAAAAGTAGAGCTTTTTCCTATGCTTCACAGTTCAGTGTTGTTGGGTTTGTTTTTTTGTTTTGTTTTGTTTTTGTTTTAATCCTCTAGAAAGGACTTTGTAGCGTTTTTCAGATGGAACAAGAACTAGGTGTGGAGAATATAATAGATCAGGAAACATGGGCAAAGGACTTTTGATGCTGGGCCAGAGCATGTATTATTTATATGATGGAATTTATGTTTTTATGTAAGCATGAAACAGTACAGTATGAGAGAAAGTAACCCATGAAAATGCTGTCTGTTACACTTATACTGTAGTACCATTTTGTATGTTGTGTAAAACGAAAGCATTGAACAAAGAAAAGGTGATGTATGTATATGAGAAAAATAACTGTATGATATCATTCCAGTACATTTTGTTGTACATTTTAGTCATGTTGATTTCTCCCATTGTTTATAAAAGAATGCGGTTTGTACAGTCTCCAGCTAGTACCCATATTAGAGGGAAAAAAAGTATTAGAAGAAAAAAGCGAGAACAGAATATTCGTGAATTGCAGTTGTGTCAAAAATAGCCTAGCTGGCCTTATTTGTGAAGCATAATTGCTTTTAGCATATGGAAGTATTTTTTCACATTTTCTTTGTATAAAATTTGTATTAAACTTAAATATCTTTTTCGATGATTGTGTTTCTTTGTGACTGATACAGGTGACACACACAATATGCTTTGGGTTTCTCCGATTTTTCAAGAAACTTCACGATTTTTTATTAAACTGATTTAGAAAAATGGTTTGTGTTCCTGGATTTCCAGTTTCCTTCGGTCTGGACACAGATGTATTTCTGCGTAGTCTCCAGATCATAGTGCCCATCAAATTGAGAAGGATCAAAGCAGTGTGGGCAGTCTGTAAACAAGTCACGTAAGCATAGAACTCGGTAGCGCTCATGTTCTTGTTTAATATCGGCAAATATCCGGTGTTTTGGTGTAGCATTTCACTTGGTGTGATGTTTCTGCATTGCTTGGCTTATGGTTATTTGTTGGATACGTGGGTTAGAGACAGGGGATTCTCAGCCTTTCAGTGAGGAAGGGAGGGGACACCGACACCAGCATTGCTTATGAGGGCCCCTCAGCTCGGGGTCGATGGCTCTAGGCAGTATTTTCTGAGCAGAGGGAAAAAGCTGCAGTGAACTTGAGCGATCCTGCATTGTTCAGAAAATACGCTCTGCATGCAGGGCGCCCTGAGGGTTTGTTGCAGCTCGCAGAAGGGCATGATCTGGATGCCCTTGCGCAGGGTGATGTTTCAGAACAACCTGGTGGCGAGGTGCCGGTGTGGCGCCGCGGGAGGCCTCGCAGGAGCCCTGGTACTCGCGGTGCCGCCGCGGCCGTCACCTCCTGCCGCTGCTGCCGCCTCCTTGCGCTTCCCTGTCCCCAGCCCTGGCCGGGGCCGCGTGGTGGGAGCGTGGAGCAGGCACGGGCAGTGCCAGAGCTGCAGGCTGGGGATGCGCTGGCGCAAAGGGAGCGCTGTGAGCTCTGCCGCCAGCGCTGGGGCTGGGCTCCTGTCCGCCCTGTGCCTTGCACGAGAGGAAGAACCAGAGACCACCCCCCTATGGTAATGCTGGTGCTGTGTGCGTGAGGGTGCCCCATAGCAACACGCAGGATGGGGCTACCAAGCTTCAAAAGTGCCTGCAGAGCTGCCCCGTAATTGACAAAGACGCTTGGGCAGTGCCCTGGTATCTGCATCCTTGCACTTGCCAAGCTGTCCGGTGCCAGTCGGCTCCTCTAGGCTTGCCTTGTCTGTCCAAGTTTCATAAAGGAAGTGCCAAACACTGAGGTTCTTTTTTTGTTTGTTTTGTTTTGTTTTTTAATGTAACATTCATTAAGATTGTTGTGACTCGAGTTGTGACATGGACTTTACTAAACGAGTGTTTTGCTGCACAGCTCTGGACGGAGGTTTGTCCCCATTGCCACAGTGTGTGGTTTGCTATGAAGACCAGCTGCCCTCGGGTGGTTAAAGAGAGAAGTGCGGGGAAAGATTCAACATAAGCAATTGCTAAAGCAGAAAAATTACCATGTGGGTTTTTTTTTTTTCTTTCCCCCCATCCTCATTTGTGAGGTGCATTTCACAACTATTTTCTTTGAAGTTTTCTAGTAACTTAGCAAAGTGCTATTATGTTGTGTTTTGGTTGTTGGGAGAAGTGGAAATTGAGAGTGGATGGGTGGAGAAACTTAAGGACCAAGTCAACGTGACAAAAATATTTTTTAATTTCAGTTTTGCACCTGCAGTGGCTGTGGGGAAACCAGCCCCGTGATGAGGATTACTCGTGCTGGCCAGACTCGGAGTTAGGCATCACAGGAGAGCTGCGTTAGGAGGGTGAAGTTTCCCACCAATATAGGGAAGAGGCTTAAAGCTATGGATGGACACAGGAATACTGCTGATCAGGTAAAGCACGTAGAAGTAGGGAATGTAGCTTGCTGAGCTGTAAGCATGGGCAGAATTAAAATTCGATGTACTGAGAACAAGGTTCTCTTGGAAAAAAAGGAGCAGCGTGAGCAATTCCCTGCTGACTGTCTCCTGTAGGGTCTAGTGGTGAAGGGAGGAGCAGCCGTGCCCAGGAAAGCCCGGTGCTCCACTGGGAGAATTCCCTGGAGCCTCCTTGCCCGTGGCTACCTAAGTCATTACTGTCTCCATTTCTGAATATTTTGTCTGGGTTGTAGTTTTCCTCAGCCATTGCTATTCTGTTAATTCTCTAAGTATTTGGTGTGTTCCCTCTTCACAGCTGAAATTGTATGTTTTCCAACAATATACAAACCACTGAAACTCGAGAAAAGGTGATTAATCTCCAGGGTTTTCCTCTACTTAATTTTTACATACCGATATACATGTCTTGCTTTCTATAAAATTTATTTGCTAAAAACAAACTCTTCTTATTTAGCGCCCTGGCACACAGGAAAACATCATTGTGCAAAGTGGCAGATCAATGAGGCTCTGAGCTACTGTGATAGACTTTGGCGCAGTACTAGCAATGTAGCAATGACTCTGTTTCCTGAGGTAAAGGTGTTTTTAGAGCCTTGGAGCATCACTCAGTGTGTCGCAGTGCAGCACTGGGGTAGCACCAGCAACTTCTTGTTCACACGTGATGGGCAGGGGGATTAGGTTACTCACTGCATCTCTCTATTGCCTTTACCAACGAGGCCCTGTGCCTGCGGAGGTTACTGGGTGCCCAGCAAGCCAGAAAGAAGTTTTGAAAGGGATTGAGAGATTCATCCAGGCCCAGAGAGCCAACATGTTTTCACAGCAGGGATTAACCAGCCAGCTCAGCAAAAATCCTAGAGCTGAATCTTATTTGTAGATGCATTTATTTACACAGAAATAAATACGGACAGCTGCAATAGTTGCTTGCAGTTTCTCTTCCTTTGCAAGACGAGGAGGATTTGCTGACTGTCCGGGTCCTCTCCCACGGGACACGGCCCCCACGCGGCTTCACGCTGCTCCGCCACGAGGCCCTGCACTCCGAGGGTCCCTCCAGTCCAACCCAGCTTGAAACGGGGAGCGCGAGGCCACAGGCATCCCTAGATGCAGAGGGGCTGCAGAGAACGCAGGTAATCCAGTCCCCCAAAATGTAAACACTTTTATTTAATGCCTTTCACTCATCACAAGGTATTTTTTCCCCTACCCCAACCCGCACACCCACAATGGCAGCATAAGGCACCGTGTAGGCACATGCACAGTCCACATACCATCGATGCAGGGTTTTAAACACAGCTATAGTTCTTACCAACAATTCCATGTGTCATTAATGTACACGACAGGATTTTTCTCCAGAGTTGTCCTGGAGAAGCTGTTTAGGATGGCAGGACTTTCCCT